CCCTAAAGTTCACTCACAAGAACGATGTCTAGCTACACCTATCTCAACTGTAGGCATGGTCCCTTCAATTTAATGGTCAGTCCTCCTCTTCTGAATTATCGAGATGCTTTTTTCTTTGGCACTCATTCCTTGACATTCAAACATTCCTTGACTCCAAACCTTCTCTCCTAACCTTCTTGAGGTGGAGATCGAAGTGTATTTCTTTACAAAAGAATTGCTTTTACGAATGCTTTTAAGGGCATGCAAAGTGGGTCACAGTCTTTTGTGAGACCCGTTATTATTGCCTCATCACTTAGCCATTTTAGAATTAGTGACTATCCTTCATGATTGCCACAGCGACGCTAAAAATTCAACATCATCCTACTTCCATCTGTAGGGGCGATCCCATACATTGTTCATTCTCACCTTCACACCGTCACCAAGGTTCAGACTACGGAAAGTTGAAGTGAAGGCTGCTGCTCAGCAAACGGTTTGTTTCAAATTAAAGTTATGAATTACGCTTAGTTCTGAAATACTTTCGTATCTATAATGTGAATTGATTGGAGTGAGTATAAGAGGCGAAATACATTTTTATTACCGCAGTGAAGCCGACCTCAGCATCGGGCTTACGTACATTTTACTCGATATACGGATGTATTGTATTACTTGGTGTGACTGCGCGCATTTTTTCAGATGCCAAGCAATTTGTCGAGGGACACGGACGTCATGGCAGTTTCAAAATATATGAAAGAAATAATGACTAGAGATAATGAAAGAGACGCACAACTCGTCCGTTACTGTGATGTAGTTCACGCATTGTGTAAGGTAGTAAACTTTTATTTGTGCGCTTATAATTTGGCATTTCTGCCTCACCAAGGCCGCATTCTGTAGCCCGCATCATCTTTCAGTGGCACTCTTCGGCTGAGTACTTTGCTAAATGTCAAGGTGCTAGCAGCGTCAGTCACCGTTGACCAAACATCTGACTTTGCTGTCCGTTAACCAACACTTCATACAGCCATTTCTGATTTGCTTCGTGCCAAATCTGATCTATTCATGGTTCAGGGAATGAGGAATTGAAGCTGGTGCAATAAGGCTTTGCTTACATCATGATTCTCTGCCACATGTTACCATATACCAATTAACCACATGTTATATTTTAGTAGTTGATAGTAAGCAATAGGAAAGGACAATGAAGTCTGTAGTCGTTTGAATGTGCTACTCTCGACCACGTCCCTAATTTATAACATCTTTCATGTAGCATATAAACGAAAGGAAAGTTTTTAGCCGTAAGAGTGTCGGTCTTCCTTCCGCCTTCACGATGGGGTTATTCTGATGACCGGTCGGTTCTTATGTTCATTAAGTTAATTTAAGGGCGGTGATCTT